CCGGCGCAGTTGGTTGATGCCGTCGTGGGTCTCCGACACCTTGTCGCGAATCTCAATCAGGAATTGGAACTGGGCGTCCAGATCTTCCTGGCTGGCACCCACCCGGGGGTCTTTGACTATGTGGAAGGTCTGGGTCTGGGAGTCGTCGCCCACTTGCAGCGTCACCTGGTAGGTTCCCGGCGCAGCCAGAGGGCCGACCAGGGAGTCCTCGGTGGTCTTGTCTTCGGGCACCTTGCGGGCCGCCGTATAGCGCATGTTCCAGACGAAGCGGTTCATGCCTGGCTCGGCGGGCGCCCGGGGTTCGGGGTTGTCTTCCCCCGCCTCCGGGGCTTTGCTGGAAAAGCTCCGTATGGTCTTCCCCTCCTCGTCCAGGATACATAGGGTTATCTCCTCGGGTTCCTCCTTCAGGCAATAGTGGACCAACACGCCATCGGGTGGGTTTTCGCCGGCGTCCCAGACCTTACGCACTATTTCGCCCCATTTGCCCAGCGACTCGCTGTAGGTAACGTCCGCACCCAGTCCGGCGCGGTAGCTCTTGCCCACGGTGGGTTTTCGCTCCCGAAAGGGCGACCGTACCCGGTAGGTGTCCCGGGGCTGCAGCAGGTGGAAGGACGACTCCGACAGGGACGGGGTTAGCTGGCGCAGTTGGCTCAGGTCGTCGAGAATCCAGAAAGCCCGCCCGTGAGTGGCGGCAATCAGGTTGTTGTCCTTTATTGCCAGGTCGTATACGGGAACTACCGGCAGATTGGCCCGCAGAGGCTGCCAGGACTCCCCCTGATTGAAAGACACATACACTCCGGTCTCGGTGCCGGCGTAGAGCAGGCCTGGACGGGTGGGGTCTTCCCGCACCACCCGGGTGTAATCATCCTGGGGCAGTCCGGCGGTTATTGATGTCCAGGTCTGGCCGTAATCGGTGGTCTTGTAGAGCATTGGGCGGGTGTCGTCCAGCTTGTAGCGAGTGGCCGCCAAATAGGCCGTGGCCGGATCGTGGGGGGAGACCTCAATCATGCAGATGAGCGTCCATTCCGGCAGGTCGTCGGGTGTAACCGCATCCCAGGTGGTGCCGCCGTCGCGGGACAGGTGTACCAGTCCGTCGTCAGAGCCGGGCCCAGAAGACCCCCTTCTCGTGGGGGGATTCCACGAAGGCGAAGATGGTGGCGTAGATCTCGGCGCCGGAAGTGTCCTTGGTTATGGGGCCACCCGAGGGTTCCAGGGTAGCCGGGTCTTGGCGCGTCAGGTCGGGACTGATGGCTTCCCAACTGCTGCCCAGATCGGTGGTGCGGAACACCACATTGCCAGCCACGTACAGGGTCTGCGGGTCGTGGGGCGAGAACATGATGGGAAAGGTCCACTGGAAGCGGTACTTCATGGCCTTGGCCCCCCATCCGGTGTACAGCTCCGGCCACACCGTTATTATCCGCACCTGTCCGGTGGCATGGTCGTAGTGCAGCAGGTTGCCGCCGCCGCCGGCAGAGCTGCCAATGGCCCCGGAAATGACGGTGTTGGGGTCCTGGGGATGAACGGCGATGTGGCCGCTTTCCGAGTTCCCCACGACATAACAATCACCCCAGGGGATGGCCCCCTTGTGGGTGCGGGAAGGCACGCTGATGGCGGTGTTGTCCTGCTGGGTTCCGTACACCCGGTGAGGAAACTGGTTGTCGGTGGTCAGGTGGTAAAACTGGCCGGTGAGCTGGTTGTAGATGCTGGACCAGCTTTCCCGCCGTTGAAGGTGACACAGGCGCCGCCATCATTGCCCTCAATCATCCGTTGGGGATTGATGGGGTCAATCCAGAGGTCGTGGTCGTCGCCGTGGGGCGTGGTGACCCGGTTGAAATTGCGCCCGCCGTCAACGGACTTCCAGCACTGGTAGTTGAGGATCCACACCGTCTCCGAGTCCTGCGGGTCGGCGAATACGTGTTGGTAGTACCAGGGACGCCCTTGCAGGTCGCGGTTGTCGCTGACCAGCTCCCAGGTATCGCCGCCGTTGTCGGAGCGATACAGGCCGCAGTCCTCGGCTTCGATGGTGGCCCATACCCGCCCCGGCCTGGCGGGGGATACGGCGACGCCAATACGCCCCTTGAGGCCGCTGGGCAAGCCGGGGTAGTCGGTAATCTCAGTCCAGGAGTCCCCGCCGTCAACCGACTTGAAGATGCCACTTTCCGGCCCGCCGCTGATCAGGCTCCAGGGCGTGCGCCGGGTCTCCCAGATGGTGGCGTAGAGAATGCGGGGGTTGTTGGGGTCCAGGGACAGGTCCACCGCCCCGGCATTCTCGCTCCGAAACAGGACCTGCTCCCAGTTCTTTCCGCCGTCTTTAGAACGGAACACGCCCCGCTCCTCGTTGGGGCCGTAGGCGTGTCCCAGGGCCGCCACGTAAACCAGGTCCGGATTGGTGGGGTGTACCCGCACCCGGGCAATGTGGCGGGTATCTGACAGGCCTATGTTGGCCCAGGTCTGGCCGCCGTCAGTGGACCGGTACACGCCGTCCCCGTAGGTTACATCGCCGCGGATGCAGGACTCTCCCATACCGGCGTAAATCACGTTGGGGTCGGATGGGGCAACGGCGATGGCGCCTACGGAAGCTGTCTTGAAGAAACCGTCGGAAACATTCTCCAGTAGGTCCCGCCGTCGGTAGTCTTCCAGACTCCACCGGCGCACGCCCCGAAGTAGAACACCATTGGATTGACCGGGTCGCCGCCGACGGCCACCACCCGACCGCCCCGGGGTGGGCCGATGCAGCGCCACCGCACTGCGCCGAGTAGTTCCTGGGGGAAGAAAGAAGCCGGGGCCTGGTCCTGCTGCGTCTCAGTCGTCGTCATGGTAGCACCTACCCGTTCAAGGTACGCACCTGCCGGGGAGGTTGGATGCCCGTCGCCCAGGCGGATGCCAGTTGGCGAATTATCCCCCGTGTACCGGAGTGTGTCGAGGGGATGTGTTGGAAATTCGGGGCAGATAAAAATTAAAGAGGTTGCACTTGGGAGTAGAGGCTGCACAAACCCCCTGGCAAGTTATTTTCACAGAGGGCGACGTCAGGGAGTCGATAAAGCCGGCGGACGAGGGTGACGAGGAAAAGCAGGGTGTAGCCAATGAGCCAGGCCAAAAACTGGAGAACAAGAAATCAGCGCTGCCGGTGTGCGGCGCAGGCTACATCTACTTTAAAACTGGTGAAAAACACCAGCGTAACCGTCAACAGCTTCATGCCCCGTACGTAGCTGATACACAGAAGTGTTGGATCAGAGACAGGAGCCTGGGGAGGAGTCGTCTGATGCGTGCTGAGGCCGTGGAGAATTACCAACAGCCTCTGACAAGGATGGGTTCCGCTTGCCTCCAGGGTAAAGCCGCAATTGTGGTGACTGCTTCTTGCGGAGGGTTATCCTATGAGATCGGCACACCCCTAAAGGGAAACGGAACAGTTAAAGAGCGACGTTCTTACCGACTGCCAGCCGCAACCGAGTTAAGCTCACGGATGGCTTGTACCGTTTCCGGGCTGGGCGCCTTGCCCATTTCGACGTTTCTGGCCACGTCCCAGGACCGGCGAACCTCTTCCATAACCTCTTCGTCCGACTGGTCAATGTCAATGGGGATGCCAATCTGCGCCCACGACGTGTAGCCGGTCAGCCAGAAGACCTCGGTGGGATTGTTTTCGGGGTCGCGGAAGTAGCAACCGATGGCGCTGGCGTGGGTAACGATGCGGTCCAACTGGTAGCCGCGCTCCAGGATGCGGCTCTTGAAGTCGCGGAGGTCATCGAGGGAATCCACGCGCATGGAAATCTGCTGGATCCAATGGGGGTCATCGAGGGAAGTCCGGCCATTCATCAGTGCGATTTCGTGATCGACACCCTCCGGGTCCGCGCTGAAGAAAGCCCCGATCGGACCGACCTTGGTCAGTTTCATTCCCATAAAGTTCGCATAGAAGTCCTTCATGAGTTCGAGGTCCTGAACGTAGAACCCAATATGACCGAGTCCATTGACTTTTGCTGACATCTTTATCTCCTCATCAATATCTTCCAAGTTGGTTTATTATGCCATTAACCTGGTATCTATGTCGAATGGGTTTTCAGTGCGCTTCCGTGGCGGTGCTGTGAAACAACCGAAGGATCGTCTCGGGCCGGAGTGGAGCCGGCGAGGAGCCATCATGCAATCAACCTGTTACTCGCGGGCCAGGTTCGAGTTTGTCTGCGACTCTAAACCGGCGGAACGAACGCTGATGACCCGGGCCACCGTTGCAAGTGTAAGAGTGGCGGAAAAGGAGGTGAAGTTTGAAAGGTCGGGATTGGGCCGATGCTTCTCCCGGTTAACCCTGACATTTGTACAGCGCGCCAAAGAGAGCGAACTCACCAAGAACAGAGTCGGGTAGGTGGGGCGTAGCGCAAAGGCTTTTGGTTCACCGGTTCAATATGGAACAAGGGAGGGACGAAGGTGTCCTATCGGGAGCTCTAAACTGCACACAGGTTTGCCGGGAACCGCCCAGCAAACCCAAATCCTCCGGACCGAATATTCCGGTCATCAAAAAGCCAAGTGCCATCAATTGATCCTTGAATGTGATTTTCTTCTCCTTGAACCCTGGAGCGCTTTTCCGTTGGCCATCCGGGTGTCAACTTAACGGCCGAGTCAAGCTGGCGTTCGGCAAGTGTTGTCGAACTGTTGAGTTCGTTTCCCCGATGGCTGGCCAACGGAGACTTCAGCTAAAACTTTCGGGTTGATGGTGGCTCTTAGCCCCTACTTCGAAATTGTCTCTAAACGCTTGCCTTGGCTCCCTTTCCCTGGATCGGAGAGAATTGAGATGAGGGTAACTGATATAATTCCTTACACCCTGACCTTCTTCCCTTAGGGGAGATAGGACTCTTGAGACAGGTTCCAGGAACAAACCTTCTTTCTTTTTCGGGCTAATTTTACTGGCAGGGACTGCTCGGGGTAGCGACCCACTGTGGGGGATCCCGGCCTTGGCTGGCGGCTCGCAGCCTGGAGTACCGTCGTTGCCATTGCAGAAAGGAGAAGCAAAGATGCAACTGGAAGGCAAAGTTGCCCTGGTAACCGGAGGGGCCCGCGGGTTGGGCTGCTCCATGGCTTTGGCCTACGCTCGCGAGGGAGCGGATGTCGCCATTGTAGCCCGCACTCCTTCGGAGCTGGAGGCCGTGGGTTCGGAAATTCGCGCTCTGGGCCGCCGCGCCCACACGGTCAACGCTGAACTGACCACCAGCGATGGCGCCAACCGGGCAGCCCTGGAGACCATCAGCGAGCTGGGGAAGATAGATATCCTGGTCAACAACGCCGGCGGATACCGTCTTTTCACCAGGGACCTGACCCACTCGGTTACGGTCCTGGACATTACCGAAGAGGAATGGCGATGGTGATGGAGTCGAACCTGACCACCACTTTCATGGCCTGCAAGGCGGTCCTGCCCCACATGATAGAACGTAGCAGTGGCGTCATCGTCAACCTGACTTCAAAGAACGTGGCCCGCCGGGGCCGGGCCGGACAGGCGGCCTACGCAGCTTCCAAGGCGGCGGTGGAGCGGCTGAGCGAGTCGCTGGCGGACGAAGTGAAGGACTTTGGCATCGCCGTAAACATCCTAGAAACCGGGCGAAAGCCCTGGTTGGGGAGAGAGGGATTTCGGCAGTAAAGCCGGCTGAGCAGAATCACGGTCCACAGTATTCCAAGCCGGACCGCGCCGAAATGGCCGTAGCATTGGCGACAACACGTGGGAAACAGCCTGGACATCACTGGGGACGGCACTGAGGACGTCGGCTGGGCTTCCGCGCGCCGCCGACCTGTCCGACAGGTCGCTTTGCCCGCCACCAGGGTCAGTGGCCAACGTAGCCGCCAGATACAGCTGGAATCGCGTCTGACCCTGCCGAAATAGGCGGACTGGCGGAGGCCCAACTGGACAAGTCGGGCCAACACGGTGTTCCACCGCCACGCGTCGCGCTCGATATTCGTCGTAGGCGGCGCTCTGCTGCAACGCCCGTGCCTCCTGCAGGAGGCCTTCCTGGGGATGGATAGCAACCGCCGTCCCTTCCTGCCCTTGGCTGCGATGCACTGGGACCGCAGTGACATGTCCGGCATTCGGCCCCTCGAAATGGAAGGCCCGCAAGCGGTATACCCGCCCCGCGGCATCCGTCGCTTCCCGCACGGCACGATGGTGTGGTGACCTGTCCCGCCGACAGGTGCAATGCCCGCGGCCAGGTCGATACAAGTCATCCGTGGAAAGTGCTTCCGTCGGGCACGGCCTGGCACCGGGCTACCAGCTTGCGGCCCGCATCGGCGAAGGTTGCCTGGAGCTCCGTCCCCATGAGGCGGCGTCGCCCATGGCTCCTCACCGGCACGCCGGTGTTGGCCTCGCTCTGTTCCACAGTTCCAGCGCCCCCAGGTGTCGAGCGTTGCCGGGCAGTACCGCCACGGCGGTGATCAGCTGGGAATCGGTATCCACCACAATCGCCGCCTTGTGTCCGTCGAAGCGTTTGCTGCTGCTCTTGTGGCCGTGGCGCATCTGCGGGTCGTGCACCGACATCATCCGGTCCCGACTCACCCCGTCTTGAGCGCCACGCCGTCATCGCCGTCGCCGCTCTTGCGCTCAATGTCTGGAGCAGCACAACTGCCCCAGCAGTCCGCCGCCGTCACGATGTGCTGCGCTCCTCACCATTCTCGGCAACTCCCCTGCGCCTGCCGCGACAACTCCCAACCGTCCGCGTCTCTCACAATCTCGCCAGCAGGCTCTGCCGCGCCCGTTTGTCGCTCCAGTCGATGGCGGCCTCGCCCTTGATACTGGAGGCAAGGTACCGCCCGTATCCCTGGGCCTTGGCCCATTCTTTGACGCTAGACTTCTCCACTGCTGCCAGCGCACGCATCAATTTGACGACCCCGTCCGCCAACAGGTTGCAGGTGTCCCTCACCGCGCCCCGCCCCAGGATGTTGGTCGTGTCCAGCGCAACCCGCATGCTCCGCTTTTTCAGGTACCCCGACTCCCGGGCCAGCCGCAGGCTGGACTCGAACACCTCCCGCACCTTGTCGTGCAGGATCAGCTGGGCGCGGAACACCTGCAATGTGCTCTTGGCGAAGGGCCGGTCCTCCACCTCAATCCCCAGGGCCACCCCCGGTCGTGGCCGAGGGCAGGCTTTTCCACCGGAGGTCAAAGTCAGCTCTGGCCTTGGCCTCGGCGTCGCTCACCTTGTCGTGGGACTGGAGCAGCAGCGCCGTCGCCAGCAGGCTGGGCGGCACGCTGTCCGGCCGTTGTCCGGGCAGTAGAACTCCGCGAAATCCGCGTCCCGGAACAGCCGGCCCCGCAGTGATGCCAGCAGACCGTTAGAAGGTGTCCCGCCCCACGTGGTCCAGATACAACCGGTCCGCTTCCCAGGACCCTTGATTGGGATCGCTCTCACAGCACTATCATCCTCGCTATTTCTTGATGCCCAAGTATAGCTGACCACCCGGCCACCGCCAGTTTCCGGCCAGATTTCTAGACCCGGCTGGAACCTGACCAGGCCCAACGATGACTACGACGACGAAGTGCACAAGCGCATGAGGCTGCCCGACGACATTGCCGAAACAGCGGTGTACTTGGCCCTGCAGACCCCTGAAACCATGACCGGCCAGTTGGTCTCCGCCCCGGAATACGACGAAGAGCATGGCATAGAGCGGCTTTCAGCTTACGAACGACTCCACTCATAGGTTCCAAACGGGGAAGGTCGGGACGACCTTCCCTTCCGCAGGAACTCCTGGGCCTAATGCCAAGCTTTTCCTGTCGCCACTCCAAGCTAACGGTACGATTGACAAGTACAGTGTGAAGGCGGGACAGCTTGGTTGCCGACGGTGGCCGTGACATTGGAAGGGCCATCGCCCAGGCTTTTGTCAGCGAAGGCGCCGATGCCGCGGTGGTTCCCCCACCGTCGCTGAAGTGGCGTTCCGGGGTGATCATCGACTTGGCGTCTCGGAACGTGGGCCTGGTTGCCAGTTCGGTGGTACAGTCTTCGAGATGTGGTTGAGGGCTCTCTGATCCTCGGCACCACAATCCTCACCGGGAGTTCGAGTCCAGTCAGGTGGACTTATACTGTGCCAGCCCATTTGGGAATCTATATTGTGGGCCTGTCAAATTTTGACGACGTCAACAATCCCGGGTCATCCAATGAAAAGCATAACTACCGACCTTTTGGCCGGAGTGCTGAGGCGCGTGGTCTTGGTGCCGACGGCGATGGCCTTCGGTGTCATAGCGGGCTTGGGGCCAGCGGCAGGTCTTTACGGAGCTATCGCACTCGGCCTTCTGGCGGCAGTCACGGGAAATACGCGCGGGCTTATCTCAGGGCCGAACATCTTTGTCACGATTGTCCTGGCGTCGGTGGTATCCGAGAAGGGGCTGGCGGCCGGCTTTACAGCTGCCTTCCTATGCGGTGTCTTTCTGATAGCCTTTGGCTTGACCCGGTTGGGGCGGTTCATCGTCTACATCCCCCATTCATTGCTGGCAGGGTTTTTCACCGCCGCCGGTATAGTTCTGGTGGTGACTCAGGTTCTCCCAGCTATCGGTCTGCCCCCAGCGCCGGGTGGTGTTTTCGGCAGCGTCAGAGCCTGGTCCAGCGCAATGGTCGATTTTGACGCCCTTGCTATTGTCGGGATAACCGTAGTGGTCGGGGGTTTTTTGGCCAACCCGACTGGCCAGATAAGCGTTCCTGGCCAGTTCCTCGCTTTGCTGGCGGGGAGCGCCGCCGGAATTATCTGGTTCACCGGGGCTCCCGTGATAGGCGAGGTCCCGCGAGGCTTGCCACAACTAACCTGGCCGGTGTTTATGCCGGAGGTCATTCCCGCTGCCTTTACGATGGCTTTGCTATGCACTGCCGTCACGCTGCTCACTTGCTTGCAGGCCGATGCCACCACCGGTGGGAGGCATCAGCCGAATCGGGAACTGATGGCCCAAGGTGTCGGCAACATCGCGGCGGGCTTGATCGGAGGTATTCCCGGTGGCGCAAGCTCGACTACATTCCTCAACCTCCAGGCAGGTGGTCGAAGCAGGATTGCAGGCGTCACGGCCGCGGCAGTAGTCGCTTTGGCTTTGGCCGTGCCGTTCGACCAGATCCCGCTGTCCGTGCTGGCGGGCATTATCATGGTCACGGGCTACCGGATCATAGATTGGGAGTTCCTGCGTCGGGTCCGGAGCATACCTCTCGGCTACACCGTGGTGATGCTGGCAACCGCCACGGTTGCGGTGCTCATGGACTTCACGATGGCGATTCTGGTCGGGCTTGTCCTCTCCGGCCTGGTGGACGTTACACGGTCGCACCGGCGTGAACTGGAGAGGCTGGTGTCCGTGCCGCTTTCGGATACTGAGATATGGTCTGACGCCGACCCTTACGATTCGAGCGTAGGGCTGATTGTCATGCCCGACAGAGTGTCTGTGGCCTCGGCCCGAGAACTTTCCAGGGTTCTTGGCGGAGATATACAGGCTAGCCAGGCAGTCATAATGGATTTCAGCCGCACTACCTATATCGACGATACCGCAGCGGCGCTCATCGGCAAAGTCATAAACCGCAAGTCTGTGGTAGTCTCTGGGCTACACGGCGAACCCGCAACAATGCTCGCCGCGTTTGGCGCCTTGCAGCCAGACAGCTGCACCCAGGACGTGGAAGGGGCAAAGGCCATGGTACGGGTGATGTTGGAATCCGAGCCCTCAAAATAGTGGAGATGCCGATGCCTCACGAATCGACCCACGACCCCGATGCCCCGCCGGACCCCCTGCGGGACTGGTATATCAACGAAATCTGGGGCCGGCGTGTAGCCGACGATGACGCGCTGTTCGAGGTGATGAGCCTGCAGGTCTTCCAGGCAGGCTTGACGTGGAAAATGATCCTGGACAAGCGGGACGCCTTCCGAAACGGGTTTGCTGGCTGGAAGATCGACGCAGTAGCTGCCTTCGGACCCGATGATGTGGAGCGATTGCGCCAGGACGGCGGAATCGTCCGCAACCGTCTGAAGATCGAGGCGGTGATTGAAAACGCCCGCCGGGCGCAGACTCTCGGCGACGAGCACGGCGGCTTCTGCCGGTGGTTCTATGAAACGCTGGAGGGCCACGAGTATCCGCCTCTGGCCCGGGAACTGCGCCGAACATTTAAGTTCATGGGACCGGAAATTGCCCGGATGTGGCTGATGGCCTCGGGCCGGATCACCCGCGAGGAGGGTGACAAGTACCGACCCGGCAGCGCCAACTGACTGTCTGGGGACGCGGGCCATCGTTCGCTATGTGATCTGGCGGAAGGTACACTGACCTTGGGAGTCCAGGCCGCCGGCTTGATGCAGTTCCTGCAACGATATAACCGCCGGCTTGGAGTTCTGGCCCTCGCAGGTAGATCTGCCCCTGGAGCAGTCCTGTGCTTCGTGCGCCGCAGGAGAGTAACCAGGGACAACTACGCCAGGCTTTCCAGGACGTTGTTGAGCACGTGGAGTCGCGCTGATTCTCGCCGTTTCAATGTCACATCCCTCATGGGTGGACATTTTCGTTGAACAGTTAACCTCGGACAAAATCGTAGACCCACAACATTCCTAACCCCCTGATATGTCCCACTTCCGCTGACGGTCTACCGTGGATTCTCAATTGCTCCTCGGGAGAGCGTCGAGCATCTCGACCCGTACCTCCATTGCTCTGGGATATAGCGCCGGGCCAAACTGGTTGAACATCGCCACGTCGGCTGCATCCCGCCCATAAGCGACGGCAACTCGCCCTCCACGAGGAACGGCCTGGGTTGCATCGAAGGTGTACCAGCGGCCACCTACGTACGCCTCGAACCAGGCGTGAAAATCCATCGGCTCGAGTTCGTGCAAATAGCCTACAACGATACGCGCTGGGATACAGAGGCTGCGGGATAACGCGATGCCCAAGTGAGCGAGCTCGCGGCATACACCCTCGCGCTGCTGGTTGACCTCGACTGCCGACATCTGAAAATTGCTGGAATCTGGATTGAAGCGTACGAAGGTGCGGATCCACTCTACAATTCTAGCCACTTGATCGTAGCCGGGCTCGACGCCGTCTACAAGTTCCCTACCGAGGTCCATAAAACGGTCGGACTCGCAATAACGGCTGGGCAGAAGATAGGTTAGAACCCAGTCCGGTAGATTATGCACCTCGTCAAGTGGCGCGCCAGGCGACACGTCAATGCCGTCTGTGGTTGAAACCTCCGCAGATCTACGGATAGAAAACTCACCTGGGGGTGCTATCAATCGCTCGCACAGGTTACCGTAACTGTCCGCATACTCTGTGACCGGTACGCTTGGCGTCAACGTGCAGTCTTCACGCGCCACCCACTGCTGTGCTCCGCTTTGCGGGCGGAGCATCAGGATAAAAGGCGTAGGGACGCTCACATCAAAGGTGATATCACAACTTATACGAAGCCACATTTCGATTTCCTAACTTGTTAAGTCCACGTCATCAGCCGGCTATGGTCCGGTGTTACAGGGCGCTCGGGTGCAAGATCCGAAGGTGATGACCTTACCCCAAGAGTTATACCACAGCGGGTGAGAGGTTCCGGTCCATGTGGTCTCGCCCCACTTCCTGTACCAGGCATAGTGCGAGTTTTGCGGGTCAATCAGCCATTGTTGCCAACAAGGCAAACTCCCGCGGGGACAGGTTCCCCAGAGTGCCGTGGGCTCTCACCATTGTAGTGTCTTCGCCAGGATTCCACATTTTCCTCAGCATCCGCCAGGGACAGGAACCGGTTCTCGTTCAGGCACTCCTGCCGGAACCGCACGTTGAATGCCTCCCATTCATGACATTAGGGAAGGCGTTGTCCGTGGGCTTGCCCGGCCGACTGAAGTCCGGTTCTACCTCGTTCAGACATGCCCACTGGTCCAGATGCTTCGAGGTGAACTCCGGGCCGTTGTCCACCCAGATGGTCCTGGGCAGCCGGTGCTGCTCCAGTACCCGCAGGCGCCTTACCTCGGCCACGCCCATGCCCTGAAACTTTTTCTTCCAGCGCCAATGGTTCGCCGGCAGAAGGTCTGCTCGCTGATGCCTATCTTGCGGCAGGCCTCCGACACCGGCGTGCCCGCCTCCGCCTGTCGCAGGCCGAAGGCGACCTGCTCCGGAGTGTACCGTGAACTCTTCATGGGACGACCCTCCTTGTCCAATTAGTTTAGATCATCCCACAAAACCGCATTTCCTCTGGAACATTTTTCGGGGAGCAGATCACTTTTGACGGTGGAAAGAGAAGTTCCAATGCATGGCGGTGGCCGAGGTCAGAAGGCCAAAGAGTCCGGAGGAGGAGAACCGCATGCTCCGGCAGTTGGTTGCCGAGCCCAGACTGCCCAAGCGGATGCCGCAGGATGTGCTCAGAAGATAGCCCTTAAGCCTGCCCAGTTACGGACCCGGGGCAGGGTATCTGCATATAGCCTGCGGCTGTAAGGGGGCGGCGCTGCCTTGGCCGGCTACGCCGCCCTGTCTGGGTTGCTCTATCCGCAGGCCATGGAGTAGACCTGCCGGGCCCCTTCGGGCAGGGGGTGGTCGGTCCAGGTATCTCCGCCGTCGTTGCTACCCCAGACCTGGCCGTTGCTGGAGGCGCAATACATGTCGCTGGGGTGACGCTCGTTGAAGGCGAGGCCGAACAACGTGCTATTGGGCTGGAAGCCGGTGTCCGCTCTGTCCCAACTCACGCCGCCGTCCCGGCTCCGGAACAACGCGCCATGGTCGCTCATAAAATTGGCGCCGGCGGCTACCCAGATGGTCTTGGGATCACCGGGCACCTCGCGGATCTGGCGGCAGTAGGTCTGCCCCTTTTCGTTCAAGGGGTCCAGTTGGACCCTGGCCCAATAGCTGCCTTTGTCGGTGCTCCGGAACATACCGGCACGGCCAATACCAAGCACAGTGCCGGGCCGGAAGGTGCTGGCCAGTACCCCGTGCATGTCCACCGGGTCGTCGTTGACGTACTGCCCGTGGCTGAGCTGCTCCCAGTGTTCGCCGCCGTCCTGGGTACGAATGATCCCGCCAACCTCGATAGCGCCGTACAACTCATCGGTGTTGGCAGGGACGCCGGCAATCTGCAGCACCCGCTTGGCCAGGTTGGCGCCGGGTCCCACCGTCACCTCGGGGAAACGGACGCTCACGGGAAGCTGTTGCCAGCGCTCGCCACCATCGTCGCTGCGGTATATCTCCGACGACTCGTAACCGGCGAACATGACGTTGGGGTCCCGGGGGTGGAAGAGCAGCGACCACACCGGCAGACCGTGATCCGGCACATTAACCTTTTCCCAGTGGTCGCCGTGGTCCTCGGTCCGGTATGGACCGTCCTGGGTGCCGACGAACACTGTGTTGGACCGCTCGGGGTGGATTGCGATGGCCCGGATGGCGGGCGATTCGGGAAGGCCGTTGGCAAGCATCTCCCACCGGTCATCCTCTTTGGCCATGCGGTACAGGCCGCTGGCTACGACTCTCCCGGGGGCGGTCTCGCCTGCCAGACCCACGTAAACGAAGGACTTGCCGTTACTGGACTTTTCGGTAGTCATACTCCCCCCTATTTATCTATCGGCTCTATCTGCGAAAGATACTGCTGCAACTTGCGGGCAACCTGGGATAGGGCCATTCCAGCACAGCGGCAGTTTGTTGTCAACTTGGGTCTTTGGGCGACGTATCGTCACCACCGATGAGACTCATCCAGCAGGGCTCCTTCTCCCAGCACGGAGCGGTCTTCTTTTTCGTCGCCACCATATCTTTGCCAATACCAACGTTCGATCTGACGTGATTCAGGTCCGTCGCTGGCGGGAAAAGCGGTGAAGCGCACTATCCTGTACTCACGGGGCTCTGGATGCACCCTGATGAGCACGTCAACGTAGCCTTCCCGGAAGGGCAGCCTCAAGGTCCGTTCATAGTCGAACTTTTTCATGGAATGGGATGGGTCGGCAGTTACGGCGTCCAGGTAGGCCAGGTAGGCCTGGAATGGCAGGCCTGGAACCAGAATCGGTCGGTGAATTCGGCCGCGATGGGCGGAGTTGCAGAAGAAATCGTCGGGTGTGATATCCTGCTGCATAGTGGGCCCCTCCCCAGTTTCTGTCGGGCGTTCTGTTGGCGAACCCGCTCGTACAGCTCGCCAACGCAGGCTGCACGTTTGCTGCCTGGTCCGATTTGCGCGGCCGATGCGCATAAGCCCCGCAGCCCCTTCCCGTTGCTCCAACTGTTGGAGCAGGGCCAGTGGCCATTCCCACCGGGCCTCCTGGCGCAGGGACGACTGGCCGTTGTTTTCCAACTATACTGGCCGGAGCAGGCGGTGGATCATCTGTTTGGCCCAGTCCCTTCTGGGAGAGGCGTGGGACAGCCCTCCTCACGGGAAAATGTTATGACGGCTAACCCTGGAAGCAAAAGGAAAGAAGGAGTAATCAATGAAATTCGTGATGTACAACGATAACCAGCCGGGCATTCTGACCGATGCGGGCGTTATAGACATTGGTGACCTCTGCCCCGACGGAGGCCAGGCCGCAATTGTTCATCTAATCGCCAACTACGACGACCTGAAGTCCCAGCTTGAGTCCCGCGCCGCCGAGGGAACGCCGGTGGCAGACGCGCAACTTCAGGCGCCGTTGCCGCGCCCCAACAAGATCCTCTGCATGGGCGGCAACTACCGCGAGTTTGGCGCCCGGGAGCCTTCTCCCATGTGGGGCTTCACCAAGAGGCACCACAGCATTATGGGCCCGGGCGGCAACGTGGTCCTCCCTGACGTAGACGCGAACATATTTCACCACGAGGCGGAGCTGGTGTTGGTCTTCGGCAGGGGCGGCAAGGACATCCCGGCGTCGGAGGCCATGGACTACGTCTTTGGCTACACGGCGGGAGTGGACGTCTCGGCGCGTATGCCGGCGGGCGGCGGCGGCCGCGGCCGCGCCCAACACGCTGCCCATCTCGGAGCACAAATCGCACCCCACCTTCTGTCCCCTTGGTCCCTGCATCGTGACCAGGGACGAAATCGCGGATCCGGAGAAGTTGCAGATCACCTTGAGCGTCGACGGCGAGCTGCGCGTTAACTACAACACCGACGACCTCGCCCACTCCATAGCAGAGTCCATTGAATACGTGGCGGCTATCGAGGAGATCAGCCCCGGCGACGTGCTCTTCATGGGCACCAACCACCAGGGCCTCGGTGCGATGCAGGACGGCGACACCATCGCGGTGGGCGTCGAGGGTGTGGGCAGCTTCAACCTCACGGTAAGCGACCCGCTCAAACGCCGTTGGCCCAAGGGAGTCGACGAGACGACAGCCAGGGACATTCGCGAGAGCGCCGGCGGCCCCGGCCGCCAGGCCCGACCCTTGCCGGCCGAATAGCGGCAATTCGGCAGAAGTTCCTGGGAATGTGGAATGGCCCCGCCTCCTCACCGGCGAAAGCCGAACTCCCGGTGAAGGGCGTCGGCCATCTCGGCAAGGGACAGCTATGCGAAAGCACCTCTACAGGCTTACAGGGTCAGCATGACCGCAAAGCTCAATGCCAACAGCACCAGAGGGCTCAGGCTTCGGTCAGTCAACGGCCTGTCTTACTGACGCGTGTGCTCGCTGTCCGTCGTGTGGGTTAACCCCTCCAATCTTGGTCTCCTGCTGGTTGCCTGCCCAGTGTATGTGTCAGCTAATTCGTTGATCTCTTGAACTGATCCAAGGCCGCCGGTATGTCCGGTATGTCGGAATAAGGCAGCGCTTGGTGGTGGTTCTTGGTTCTGGGGCGATTTGGGAGAGCTTTCGCTATCAACTTGCTCGGAGGATTATCCTGTCTCCATCCCTGGGCCACGGCCCAATCCAGGACTGTCTCCATTCTCCGCCTTACCCGGCTGGCCGTTTCCGTCTTGCTGGTCCTAACGGGGGTAAGAACCCGTAAGAATCGCCGCTGCATATTTCATATACCTTTCTGGACCCTGTGATGGGGAAAGCATAGGCGGCGAGCGTATTGCGTCACTTGGCTGGGTGTTTTGGATTGGTCCAGGTGGGTGCCCTTAAGCAGATAACTTCCTCTGCAGCCTTGGCAAAAGCCGGGCAAGCAGGCCTGTATTGCTCTTCTTCCTCTTCGTGATTCGCCGCAAGCGCCGGAACTGCCGGTGCTTCCGGTTTATCATCAACCCTGCCGCCCTGACACGGCGCTTCCGGCTCCTGCGGTGTCACCGGAATTCAAACCAGTCACATCGGCACTATCCGTGAGGCGAAAGCCCTCTGTTTCCCTGGCATTTTGGAGCTGTTGCCATTTCTGGCACAGTGTTCGCCACTGGGGGTGATGAGCAGGGTAAGCCGATGGGAACACAGGACCGTGACAAGGCCGAGGAAGCCGCTGGCTACCGCATAGTCACTCCCTCGAATCTACCGGAAGGCATGGTACTGGTAGGATATTTGGTCGATGGTGCCAAATCCGACAATAAGTCAGACGCAGTAGACCAGTATTGGCACATGCCAGGAAGGAAAAACTCCAGGCAGTGGATATCGGTCATGCAGAGACCGAGGCGCGCAGGACTGATCGGTAATGAGTCGACTACCATTTCGGGCATAACAAGTGAGAGAGTCTACTATGAGAGTGACTCAGAACGTCCCTATCCGATTGTGGAGTTTAAGTGGCACCATGAAGGTGGCTTCCTGTCATTCTCTGGAACTATCGTGAATTCCCAAACGGAAGAAACAATTAAGCTGGTGGCTGATTCGTTAATCTCGGAATAAGTCTGCTCCAGTACCTGGTTAAGGGAGTCGGGACGTCTCGACACCGGACTCCCTCTTGAGGGAATATCCAAATGAAACAATGGCTCCTGCTTGCTGGCTCTTTTTTCTTTGCCGCAGTGTTGATGTCCTGCGGCCCGCCAAAGTTTTCCGACCCGGAACCTACTTTGCCTCCGGCTGGTGTTACGCCCTTACCAGATGCTTTCGAGGACTTGCCCCATGGCCGAAAGGCCCAACCTCCCCTTTCGGTACTCAGACCGACCAGGCAGGCAACGCTTGGCCCGGCCCCTCAACATCGCGAGCGCAGCGCCAGATCTTTTTCTCGCTCGACTCCCACATTGGCACCGTCCAGGCATCCCACAGTTGCGGCTTCAGCTGACCCATCTTGGCAGGAGAACATGGCCAGGGAGGTATATTCGGGCTCTGGGTTTGCCTGGGTTGATCCCTCGTGGATTACTGATGCGATGGACTCTTTTCCTGTTAGTGTATCCGCCAGGGGCCTGTGGTTATCGAATCCAGCTGGGGTCTTGGAACTTCACGGACTGGAACCGGCAGACAGTTTGGGGGAATGGCTCAAGCGCACTCCTGAACAACACGAAGAATATCAACTGGCCCGACAAGGCCTGGTGAATACCGATTTAAAGAACACGATGAGGCAGTTCTCCCCCGAGTGGGAAGAAGTCTTTGGATTCGGGGCTTGGGATGTAGCTACCATGGCAGAAGAAAAACAGAGAAACTAGAAAGCATATGGGGCGAAGGTGGAGGGCAAGGTGATGAGGCTCTCAAACAGGACTGGTGATTCGGGAGAGTAGGAGGTAGACCCAGAGCGAGGGGTCGAGAGAGGGGAGAAACCTTCAGAGTCTGCTGTATGAGACTGCAGACGTCATGCGATGTGCCAACGGTATCTGGCAGTTCCGGAAGGACAGAGCCCGGACATACAGGGACCTTTAGCCGAAGCCACCGAAAGGAGTGAGGAATAAAGACCTTTTTTGTTTGCTGAAGGGGTAAGATGGTGCTCACCTGAATCTGGGATAATGGTTTTTGATCGGAAACCGGACCCCGGGAAAAGGAGCACCTTGTAGATGCTACCACTTGGGCACCCAGGACCGCCATCCAAATCGGCTTCGACGATCACCGCCTGGGTCAACAATTGCCGGGTGATCCTTCCGGGCCATATTGGCCTGCATCTGGGCCTGCCGTCAAATCGTTGACGTCCCTGGACCTGGGGGTGGCGCAGGCGAGCAAACAACGGAAAAAGTGATTGCGCTGGTGGGTCCGCGCGGGTGGTGGCGGACTGCATGCGACGACGATGCGGTGCGTGCGGGGGGGACTAGCTAGTGCTGGGTGCGGTGTGGTCAAGGAGCCCTCCACCCGGGCACATTTCCTGCGCAGCTGCCGGTGGGGACCAACGTCGACCAGCTGGACCGGTGAGTGAGCCGGAGCTTGCTGGCAAGCGTTTTCCGGGAAGCGGCGGCGGTTGCCGGACCACGCAGCGACGCCGTGGACAGTCGACCTGGACTCGACGATCTGACGAGAGACATACGGCTGGCCAAGGAGGGCGGCGCAGCCACCACGGCGATACACGGCCAGCGGGGCTATCACCCGCTGGCTGGCCGTGGCCGCCGGCACCGGCGACAGCGCTGAGGCTCCACACGGCTGCTGGCGAGGGCCGCGTCTAAACAACAGCCCGCGCGGCGGCCGACCAATTTCCTGCGGAGACGGTGGGCGGGTGCGCTACGGCCGGGGCCAGGGGCACTCACGGTGCGGCCGACAGCTGGCTTCTACACCATAGCGATCGGTCGCCGTCATGCCGCAAGATGGACGTGCGCTTCTCCATCGCGTCCGCCAGTCCCAGCACAAACGCCCAGTTGCGCACAGCTACCATCGAGCAGGCGACTACCCGAGGCATGCATGAGGCCGGTCCCGACTGGATGGACGGCTGCAGCGCGCGAGTGGCCGATGTGCTGGTACATACACCCCCTTCAGAAGCGTCCCGACGCCGCGCCGGTGCGGCTCATCGTGCGGCGGGTGAAGCCCGGCGCGGGTTCCCACTGGCCCTTTCGCCAACCTACAGCTATCACGGCTTCATCACGACGGGACGGGGGACTCCGTAACTGGAGGCCGACCACCGCCGCCACGCCGAGACGAGATGCCATCCGGGACCTGAAGTACGGCGTCTGTGGGGGCTCAACCATCTCCCATCGGGCCGCTTTGCGCCAACGCGCCTGGGGCCGCGTCCAGGTGCTGGCGCATAATCTTGGCACGTTGGGCCAGCGCAGTAAATCCCGGTGTGTTGATGGGGGCGAGCAATGGTGAACATAATATTACCCATCTCGTTTCCCCCTCCCCCCCATCACACTGTACACTCGACACCCCGATTAACCAAACGTACACTGATCACACAAAAACAATACATAAGAAAAGACAAAGACTATGCCTTACTAGAAGTGAAATGCGCTGCTGGCCCGCCCGCGACGGGGCTTCGGAGCCGTCCGACACCCCTATACAACATAACTAGCAAAATATAAAGCAACTAAACCAACATCCAGCTCAACCGCGCAACCACCACAAAACACAAGAATTAAAAAGATATCGTCCGCCTAAAACACCATCTAGTAAACCTAACAGCAAATCGGCTAACAACAAAGCGTACCAAAAATACAAAATCAATAAATAAAAAGAAAGAAAATAAGAGTATGGAAAACAAAAAAGGGCAAGATATAAATAAAAAAGAAAATAATAAAATCACAAAACAGGCAAAAACACAAAAAACAAGAACATAAACACAAAAAGGCACCCAAAAAAGACAAAAAAAAAGCAAGAAAAACCCAAAAAAACCATAAAAGCAACAAGAACACACAAAAAGAAAGAACAAAAAAAAACACAAGAAGCAAAGACAAAACACCAGGAAGATGCACATTGAACAATAGACCACAAATAACACACAAAAAACGATACTACATAAAAAGAAAGCCACCTATCAAATCAAAAAAACTAAACAAAAAACGAAAAAACAAAGTAAAAGAGAAAAAAAAAGGTAAGAAAAAAAAAAAACAAAAACAAAACAAGGAAAACAAAAAAAAAATCAAAAAAATTAGGCAACAGACTAATAAAGACAACAAGAATACAAAAAAAAAAGCAAAGCAACCAAAAAAACAAGCCACACAAAAACAAGAAGACAAAAACCAAATTAAACCAGAACTATTTGTTAAAACTAAAAAAAAAAGCGACAAAACATCTACTAATTAACCAAAGAGAAGAACGGGATAACACCATAAGAACAATAAAGAGGTAGTTAAATGTTACAATAATTATTACTAAGTGCTAGGATAAATTTGAATGTGGGAAAGATACTTCATCAATAACCTGTAGATATACTCACGAGAATATTCGCCTAATTCAAAGATGAAACGAAACAATAACCAGGGATAAAGGTGAACATGAAGACGAAAAAAGAGAAAGGAAGGACGGAGCAAGGAATGAGGAGAAAGGAAAAGCAAAATAAGAGAAATAGGGAGGGAACAATTAAAAAAATAATTAAATATAAAAGAATTAATTTAATGAGGAAGAAAAGGCGAAGAGACCGAGAGGAAACGGACCAATCGAGAATCCCAAGGAATGCAATAAACAAAGAATAC